GTTCTGGTGGGGGGAGAGAAAAGTGATTGGTGGGTTCTGGTGGGGGGGGCGATGGTGATTGGTGGGTTTTGGCGAGAGGTGACAGGTGAGTCTTACCTGTTGAAAGTAAAACACAGGTAACATGTCCCCTCCTCCTCTTAACACACCTCTGTTTCTTTTCCTCTCTCATCTTCCTCGCCTCCTTCCTTCCTTCCTTCCTTCCTCCTCCTTCCTTCCTCTCTCCATCATCTCGTGGTCACCAATAATCAACACTCAGGTAACAGTTCAAAACACAACACCAACTACGCTCTTATATATATATAACCTTTATTACACCTTTTGGTTAATTTATTACAATCATAAAAATCTATTGAAGTTTACATCATTTTTGTTTTAATATCAATAAAAATCTTTGTTCATATTATAGTTAAATTATATAACAATTATGGTATATTTATGATCATATTTGTAAACTGTGTTGAATGGTAAGGCTCTTGGTAATCTGTGTCCTAATTATGGTATATATATATATCATTAAGTACTAATTATGTTATAGCAAAGGTTTATGTCATTACTACGTTAATTATCTTTATCATTAAGAAATCAGAATAGTGAAGGGGGGGGGGGGTTAGGTGAATAATTATCATGTTTGTATAAAAATAATAAGGATATTATTACCTTTTAGGATGTAATTACCTGGTAGGATATAATCACCTGTCAGGATATAATCACCTGTCAGGATATTATTACCTGGTAGGATATAATCACCTGTCAGGATATTATTACCTGGTAGAATATAATCACCTGTCAGGATATAATTACCTGTCAGGATATTATTACCTGTCAGGATATAATCACCTGTCAGGATATTATTACCTGTCAGGATATAATTACCTGTCAGGATATAATTACCTGTCAGGATAGTATTACCTGTCAGGATATAATCACCTGTCAGGATATTATTACCTGTCAGGATATAATTACCTGTCAGGATATTATTACCTGTCAGGATATAATCACCTGTCAGGATATAATCACCTGTCAGGATATAATCACTTGTCTGGATATAATCACCTGTCAGGATATAATCACCTGTCAGGATATAATCACTTGTCGGGATATAATCACCTGTCAGGATATAATAACCTGTCAGGATATAATTACCTGTCAGGATATTATTACCTGTCAGGATATAATCACCTGTCAGGATATAATTACCTGTCAGGATATAATCACCTGTCAGGATATAATCACCTGTCAGGATATAATCACCTGTCAGGATATATCATCACCTGTCAGGATATAATCACCTGTCAGGATATATTTACCTGTCAGGATGTAATCACCTGTCAGGATACTGTTGTTGTAATATACTGTGTACACATTACAACACCAACACTAATACACACCTGGGCGCGCACTCACACACACGCGCACACACACACACACACACACACACACACACACGCACACACACACACACACACACACACACACACACACACACACACACACACACACATGGGGGAGCAGCCAGAAATAATTAAAGTACCTAATATTACATAAACCAACCTTTAATAATATCATGGTAGTATTTATTATCACCTTAATATATAATAATAATAAATGCCTCTATCATGTCTTTCATCAGTAATTTCTATCGCTATCTTCTTAAGTTATCGTTAGTGAAGAATGTCTAAAAGATTGTCAATAAGAATGTCTATACTCTTATCTATAATTCCTATCTTAACGACTAATGATACAAAAATAAACAATATTCAATGATAAGTGAGGCTACAGCTTGACTAGAACACACACGGGCGGTCCTCTCACCATCATCACTATGTCTTGACGAGTTTCTTTAACATAGCGCTGATGTTTGAACCCCTACTATGCTGCGTGTTATTTGTACCCTTGTGTTGATACCTTACGACACGGTGTTGTGAGAGCCTCCTGTGATCTGAGAGCCTTGTGTTGCTGCGTGTTGTGATGTCAGGGCACAGTATTTGTTGTGTGTGTGTGTGTGTGTGACCTTTGACCTTTAATTTCTCTCGTAATTGTGACCTTCAACTTGATCTTATCGTGACCTAGACCTTATCACTGTCATAAGCTGTCCGTCATCCTCTATTTAACAGACCTTTGGGAGAGAGGAAAGTCCATTATATCGAGGGTCCGTTAGATGTGTGAAACCCCCGTTATATAGAAGTTACACTACGTTAATGACGAATGTACATAGATATAAACATTGATTTAGATCCTATAAACATTGGCGTAGACATAAACATTAGCGGCTGTTTTTGTTATGTTTTTGTTTGAGTGATAGTTATTGTATTATGAGTTCCACAAAAAATAATAATGTTTTACCATTTTTCAAGAACATTTGTTTTTTTATATGCACATCGAGGCTCACAGAAATTGCTCAAAAAATGGTTCATGGCTCACAGAAATGTCTCACAGAAATAGCTCATAGCTCAGAAATGGCTCACAGATATAGCTCACAGAAATAGCTAATGGCTCAGTAATAGCACACATAAATGGCTCACAGAAACAGCTCACAAAAATGGCTCACAACATTGGCTTACAAAAATGACTCACAGAAACTGCTCACAAAAATGACTCACAACATTGGCTTACAAAAATGGCTCACAGAAATAGCTCACAGAAATGGCTCATGGCTGACAAAAATGCCCCACAGAAATACCCCACAGAAATACCTCACAGAAATGCCTCACATAAATACCTCACAGAAATACCTCACATAAATACCTCACATAAATTCCTCACATAAATGCCTCACATAAATGCCTCACAGAAATGGCCCACATTAAAGGCGCACATTAAAAGCGCACAGCAAAACAACAATGACCTCTACTAACCCACTACAGAATTGCACCACTGAACAAATACACACTATGGTATTATTAGCTTATATAATGTACTAGACTATACTGTTAGGCTGACCACTGTACTCTGGGGATGTAGGAGAGGGTAGAAGAAGAATGGGAGGAGGAACGGAGGAGAAGAAGAGAGTATTATATAGATGGAGAGGTCATCCGAGTTATCTCCTATGCATGAGAGTTGTGGAGTCGAGGTATATACTGTAGGGCTTCCGTGGGTCGCCGGGAGGTGTAGGACGTCTGTCACCTCTTGACTGTGTGGCAGGACTCTTATTGTAGACGTTCTAAACACCCCCGTCTTCTGTGGACTCCAAGAATGCATTATATCCTGAGAGTTTGGTAGAAGGAAGGACCCTCGTCACCATGGGGTCGGAGAAGGAGTCCTCAAGAGGAACCTGATGTAGAAATTCTTCCGCGTATTTTCTCCTGTTCTCTCGAGTAGGACTCCCTGGATCTTGTGGGGGTCGTGGCGAGAGATCTACCCTGGGTATCCTTCGTATCCCAGCAGTGAATTCCAGTAAAGTTTCTTAGACCTGGAGGTAGAGCGGGGTGTCCTTGGTTCACCCGGAGACCTGAAGTGAACGTCCCAACTTGTTTACGAGGAAATCCTAACAACATCTCTTAAAGTCCTTTAAGAAGGAGGTCAGTATTCCCTGGATCAGTGTGAGGTCCCGGGGGGCGAGTTGACCCCAGGGTCTGCCTTTTGTAGTGTCTTACCCTTTACTGAATCCAGCAGCGGAGTGATGGACCGTGGCTTTAGGTCACTGCTGACTGACGGGTGTTGTGGGTCATAGACTAATGAGGACTCCGGCAAGTTACAACTGGTGGAACAATGACGAGTGAGAGAGACTGTCGGGGGCTCTAGTCGAAGGTCGCTACTGACGGGACACTGAAGGTTGGAGCTTGACGACGGCTTCTGAAGGTCACCGCTGACGGCGGTGTGAGGTTCAGGTACTGATAACTGCTCCAGTGGAAGGTCGCTACTGACGGGACGCTGGCCGGAGAGGGTCTGGGTGCTCTGGGTGCGGTACTGCGGCCACTCACGACGAGCACCTACACAGCTCCACGAGTTACTCCTCAGGAACCCCACCTCCACGTCACTCCCTGCAAGAGAGGACAGACTTGTGAGGTAAAAACACCCACAGACAGTGAGGAACACAGAACAGAAAAAGTGTGGCGTCAAGCTACAGCCTAATATAGGTAACTGACGATTGAGTGACAACAAGGATAAGCATGTCGTTAGCGTACAGATCACTGGCCTCTATAATAATGTGGCGTTGTGGTCGCTCGCTGGCGCCGCCGTCAGGACTCGAGCAGTAACTTAAGAAAATACCTGAACAGCAAATACTTGTCAGTACTCCACCCGGCCTGTGATGCCTCCAGTATAACTCTCGAGTGGGACTTAAGACTGCACCTCGACCTATGTGCTGAGTTGGTTCTAAACGTATTTATAGATATCAAAGTTCTGTTCTGGATAATATCGTTTAGAACTGTGCATCATATCATAGAAAATTGAGACAGTCTAGTCAGTCTGTGTACGTTTTCTGTGAGTAAGAAGTTGGATGGGTAACTCCTCAATAATATCATGTTAGTGTGGCTTCTATACTCGTCGTGTAACATTGTGAGTTTGACACCTGCTGGTTATTGATTGATTCTCAGGTGGGTGTTGAGTCGTTAATCCCATAAGTACGATATGAAATTGTTGTACTTACGATAACTACGATGACATAACCTTTAGGATATGATAACTTAACCCTTAGCTCATGACGGTCATATCGTGCCAAAAGAGTTAAAATTACTGGGCTCAGGTATTTTAAGTTGTTTAATGCCAGATGATTTTATTCAGCTGAGAGTAACCCCTGTCCCCTAAACTAATAAAGGGTTAAAACCTACCCCGAGGAAGCATAGTACTCAAGGGGTTAAGTCATCGTTCTCAAAGGGTTAAACATAGTATTCAAAGGTAAATATTATGTTATTTATTATTATTAATGTTTTTTCGTTATTATTATTATTATTGTTATTATTATTATTATTGTTATTATTATTATTATTATTGTTATTATTATTATTATTATTATTATTATTATTATTATTATTATTATTATTATTATTGCTGTTATTATTATTATTATTATTATAATTATTATTATTATTATTATTATTATTATTATTATTATTGTTATTATTATTATTATTATTATTATTATTATTATTATTATTATTATTATTATTATTATTATTATTATAATTATTATTATTATTATTATTATTATTATTATTATTATTGTTATTATTATTATTATTATTATTATTATTATTATTATTATTATTATTATTAAAGCATAATTTACTCCTTTATAAAGACTAAGCCAGGAGAGGAATGCTAGAGCCAGTAGTGTTGAGGTGAACCTACCATGTATCACTAGGAAGGGAGAGCTAGTATGGTCCTGTGCTGAGGCTGAGGACGCCACTCGGTGTACAGGCCGTGAGAGGGACTGTAGGATGCTGTTAGGGTCACTTCCCTCCAGCAGGTGGTACTGTTCCTGTGACCTGGAGGGGGATTCCTTGCTGCTGCCTCCTACACGGTACTGCTCACTTGTAAACAGCGGGATGGGGATGGCCACTGAGAGGCTCTTGGCTAAGGAGTGCTCCAGAGCCGACCCCTTGGGCTTCTTTGGGACCTCAGGGGTCAGGGACTGTTCTTCAGGGCTTTCGATGAGGGGAACCTCCACCCCTGAGTAGGACCCGGTGCCTGAGTCGCTGTAGTAGGACTTCTGGAAGGAGGGGAGGTGGGCGGTCTTACCGGAGGACTGTGGTCTGGCGGCTACTTCCTCCACAGCTCCTGAAGACAACGATAGAGACTGATCAAATAGACTCACATGTGAAGTAGTTTATTATGTTTATCTAAACGTGAGGTATATTTCAATTAGTTATTTATTTATTATATTACCACTTATCAGCTCACCAACCAATCGGCCGGTTGAATCGTTTTATGGTTACTTTATTATGACCTTTATTGTCCACTGTTAGTACAAGAGGGAACTGGCCATGTTTGGTAGTGAGGGTCACACTAGATAACACCCTTCTCACATCTGTCTAGGGCCAGGACTCGAACCCATGACACAGTGGTGGGCGATACGTGTGTTAACGTGTCTATTACAGTGGACATCTGAACGTGAAGTACCTAACCTAACCTAACCTAACCTAACCTAACCTAACCTAAACTAACCTAACCTAAACTAACCTAACCTAACCTAACCTAACCTAAACTAACCTAACCTAACCTAAACTAACCTTTACTATTGAACTCTATTTTAATTACATAAAAGTATCCAGATTAACATGTCTTTAACTTGTCTTCTTTACATACTAAGACACTTTGATAACCAAGGAACTAATTAACGTTCTTGGCAGGTATTTTCTTCACCTTTCTTAACGGACAGGTAATACACGATGTTTCGACAGGGAGGTTTGAGAAGCAGACAGTGACGTGAGAGGTTTTGACGGGACGTTGACAGGAAGACTTTGACAGGACGTTGACAGATGTACTCACTCAGTTTGACGGAGGGATGTTGGGGGTCTCGGGTAGGGCTCTGGGTACGGGAGAGTTTCCTGTGGTGGAGGATGGAGGCGAAGTTGAAGGTGGAGCTGCCCCCCTCTCCGCCCCCACGCCTCGACCAACCCCGACCCATCAGCGCCAGGCGACAGCAACGCCAGGCTCGAGACCGGAACACCTGGAGGAGGAAGACAGAGAGAGAGAGGGGTGTGATGAGATGAGAGAAAGGGAGGGAAGGATTGAGGAGGAGAATAAAGGTGAGAGGGAAAGAGGTCTAGGGGTGAGAGGGAGGAAGAGACGACACACACACACACACACACACACACACACACACACACACACACACACACAGTCGACAACAATACCAAGAGGTTTGATCTGAACGTTTGACGAAGAAAAGGAAAGCAGGGAGTAAAATGCCTGTGTGTATGTGTGTGTGTGTGTGTGTGTGTGTGTGTGTGTGTGTGTGTGTGTGTGTGTGTGTGTGTGTGAGGGTTGGCGACCACGACCCTCCACTCTTAAACATTTTACAGGCTATCTAATAACTTTCCTGGAAGTTGTCTCTCTCCGGGAATCACAACTTTTACTTTAATTCAGTTATGTCTGTCACTCTGTCGTCCCCTGGCCCTCCTTACCCTCAGAGTCACTCATTAATTACCTATCGTTATTCCCTTTTCCATAATCATGTAACCTAATTATTTATTTTTATAGTTATTTTTCTATATATTTCCAGTATTTCTCTAGGTACTCCAAGCATTTAATATTTAGTTACAGCCAAGATAATTTTACGGGGGAAATGGGTGACACAAATGGACAGACAGACGGGCGGACTGTCAGAGAAAACGACCCGATAAAGAGAGATAAATGACTACTGCAGTGATAGATGGCCAGACGAACCCCCCGCCCCACGCTCGACGCCCCCCCACGCTCGACGCCCCCAGCTCGACGCCCCCACGCTCGACGCCCCCCACGCTCGACGCCCCCCCCACGCTCGACGCCCACCACGTTCGACTTCCACGCTCGACGCCCCCGCACCGACGCCCCCCGCTCGACGCCCCCACGCTCGACGCCCCACCCCCACGCTGGAGCAGGGGATCAATCTGGCTTAGGATTGCTTCTCAAACCCAACATCTCAAGGCCTTTAAAAACAGTGAGGCAGGAGACGCAAGTGACGCAATAGACGCAAGGAGAAACAAGGGACAAAAAGGGACTCACAGAAGGCGAAAGAGATGATGCACAGGACACAAGAGACACAATGGTCGTATAGGACACAAGTGACGCAAGATATACAAAGGGACGCACATGACGCAAGAGGCGTAAAAGAAGCACAAGACACACATGACGCAAGAGAAGGGAAAATTCTGAAGCAGTGAGTCATGCTTTTGAGGGTGTCGTGTTTAATCTAGTTGATAGAGGGATGGCGGTGATCTTTGAGAGAGAGAGAGAGAGAGAGATGTTACGTTGGCTAGAGAATAAAATAGACAGATACAAAGGTTGATTGATAAATAAGGGAAGGAGATAATGAAGAAGAAAATAGAATTGCAAATGAGAGAGACTGACTTGGCTGCCTTATTCAACCCCCCACACACCGTCCTTCAATTTCCTTCCATCCTGGTGTTCAATCTGTCACAAACCCACACACACACACACACACACACACACACACACACACACACACACACACACACGATGTTTATCTAGGGGGTGAGAGAGAGCACTTACTGTAGCCAGAATAGACCTCTCTGTACACCATCTGCTACACCTACTGAGTCAATACCTGGTGAGGGGGTGGGGGGTGGGGGGGGGCTCCTACCTACACCCGGATAACCACATTAATCATCTTCTGAAGGTCTTGATGTAGGTCTTCTCCTCTGTACATTTATTGGTTTGTGTTTGGAATTGACTTTGTAATGTTGTTATAAAACGAAAATGGTTAATTTATGTGGTTTAATGGTTTATGTTTTGTGTTAGCGAGTGTGATTGATTGTTTTTTTTTGTGTTTGTTTGTTTGTTTGGAGTTATTGTTTTTTTTCTGGCTAAATATACTGTTTTATTCTCATTTTCCATCTCTTCTTCTTTCCCTTTGTTACAGCTTTAAAAAAAAAAGTGAATTTATTCTGGTTTTCTGGTTTGGATTTTATCGTTCCAGTATTCTAAAGAGACACTGACAGACAGACAGACAGACAGACAGACAGACAGACAGACGTACCACCCTGCAGATGATGTACACCCAGGGGTCGACGATCTGGTTGAGAGAGGCGAGGCGGACGGCTATCAGCTCCAATAGGTGATCCTTATTTGTGGTATGAGGCGGCCACAGTTGATTGATAACCAGGATTATCTGTCAGGGGGAGGAAACAGGTAGATTAGGGGATGATAATCTGGGGGTGAAGGTTAGGGGGTGATAATCTAGGGGGTGAAGGTTAGGGGTGATAATCTAGAAATTGAAGGTTGGGGGTGATAATCTGGGGAATTGAAAGGTTATGGGGTTTGATAATCTGGGGTGAAGGTTAGTGAAGGTTAGGGGGTGATAATCTGGGGTGAAGGTTAGGGGTGATAATCTGGGGGGGTGAAGGTTAGGGGTGATAATCTGGGGGTGAAGGTTAGGGGTGATAATCTGGGGGTGAAGGTTGGGGGTAATAATGTAGGGGGTTAAGGGGGAGTTAATAGTGGTTTCTTTATTGATATGTAACCAGGATTATCTGTTACGGGGGGATAAAGGGGGAGGGGTAGGGGGTGATAATCTGGGGGTTAAGGGGAGGAGTAGGGGGTGGTAGTCAGGGGGTTAAGGGGAGGGTTTTGAGAAGAGACGACCACACCCCTGAGGCGACCCTATCCCTGTTACCTTGACGACGAGAGGATGCAATAAGGTGTACTAAATTATATGTTAGTTCTCATACCCCTCCTCCTCCTCCTTCTTCCCCCTTCCTCTCCACGTCTCCTCCCCTTCTCCCCCACCCTTTAACCCTCCCTTCCTCTTCCTCAGCAGCACTCTTGTCATCTACTTCCCTGTGTCCTTCTCTTGTCCCCCCTTCCTCCCCCCACCGCCCTCCGTCCCCCCCCCAACCAACACTCACGTCGAGGGGTGCCCAGGAGGTGACGAACACACAGGTAATGACGACCAGCACTATCACCATCTGTAACTCGTGGTCGTTGTGTGATCGGGAGCGCTCAGGGTGACACAGACTTGGCGGCAGCTGACGGGACAATCTCATCTTCAACAACGTCCCTGAGAAGCAAAACACACACGTGCGAGTTAGTTATAGAGAGGTTGAGCTTCCCTGCCACCCACTCACCCACCCACTCACCCACCCACTCACCCACTGACCCACCCATCCACTCACCTACAACGAAGACATTGCAGACGACGATGATGATAAGGTGGGTGACATGGATGACTCCCAAGGTGGTGGTGTAGATGCGGTACCTGAGCGGGGTGGTGGAGGGACACAGGTGGATGTTAGTGAAGCACCAGGTGTAAGGGTACTGAAGCACCACCTGACCCACGTTGAAGAGCAGGAGGAGGCTGAAGGCTGTACAGAAGACCCAGATCCCCACCAGTAGGTACCTGAAGGCGTAGATGGGTGGGGGAGAGGAGGGTTAGAGGTGCTTTGACGTGTTGTGGTGGATAGATGGAGAGATAGATAGGTGGATAGAGAGGTAGATAGGGATGGATCGATAGATAATTGGGGATAGATAGAGGTGAGGGGTTGCGATGGTTAGGTAGGTGGATAATGAGAGAGAGAGAGAGAGAGAGAGAGAGAGAGAGAGAGAGAGAGAGAGAGCGTATAGCTAAATAGAGACACGGCTGAATAGATAGACAGGTATATTAAATAGATAGATCGATAGATATACACACATTACATACAAGAACAGAACAAGTCAATAAAGATGGCGTAAGAATATCACTAAGACTGTACCGTAACCAGACGCGTGAAGGAGGAAAGAAATGTGTGAGAGAGAGAGAAGCCGCTGTAAGTGTCTTAGTGGAAGTGTGTGTGTTAATGGTACTGGTGTAGTTGAATACTGAGAATTGCATCTGAATGTTTAATTGCTTCACCACACACACACACATATGCTCTCTCTCTCTCTCTCTCTCTCTCTCTCTCTCTCTCTCTCTCTCTCTCTCTCTCTCTCTCTCTCCAACAACGTCCAGGCCAGGCTAGGGTTAATTTCCCTCGTCTACACCATCAGCACAAACACCGCCCGGCCCGCAACCTTCTAAATTGTTTTCCTATATACCTCTATCATCGCCATCATCACCACTATCACCACCATTACTACCTTCATCATCATCACCACCATCATCGTCATCATCACTTACACTATCACCACCATTACTATCTTCTCATCATCATCGCCACCATCATCCGTCATCATCACCTACTCACCACCATTACTACCCTCTCATCATCATCACCACCATCACCACCACCACCACCACCACCATCATCATCATCATCATCACCATCACCATCACTATCATATCACGTTTTTTGTCGTTACAGAATGTCTCACCCTTGCACCCCTTTCTCTCACCCCTCTCACCCCCCTCCCTCTCACCCCACCCCCTCTCACCCCCACCCCTCCTCACCCTCCACCCCCCACCCCCCTCACCACTCATTAGTGTAACTAGAGGACAGACTTGAAACACTCCCTCGTTACCTAACACTTGAGAAGACTGACCAATCACCGCTTCCTTAATTGTTGTTCTCTTGTTTCTTGGTTGTGACTGTTTGTTTGGTTGTCTTGGGACATGGATGGGTGTGTTTGTTTGTTTGTTTGGGTCGTGGTTGGGGTGGGGGAGGGTTGGTTTTTTAGGGGGGGGTTGGTTTGGTTAAATTTGCTATGGTTGGTTTTTAGGTTTGGTTTAGCTTGTTTAGGTTAGGTTGGTTTAGGTTGGTTTAGGGTAGGTTAGGTTTGGTTTGGTTAGAGTTGGTTAGATTTGGTTAGATTAGGCTACGTTAGAGTAGTAAATGCATAAATATCAAACAATCATTAATATCATAACTTGAAGAATTTAAAAATTTCCCATAAGAACTCAGATATTTTGTCAAGTTAATATATATATTATTGTGTTACATATCTTGAAAATAATACGATAATTTAGTCAGAAAATACGTCTCTACGCCTCGCTGATAAGATATGCAAATGGTCTCTTGGCTCGATGAAATGTGGAGGTGTTCAGCCTTTAACTTTACCGAGGAGAATGTGTCTGACGCCGGCCAGCCTGAACGTGGTGTGGGAGGAAGGAGAGAATGTGGGGAGGTGAGGGAGGAGGATGTGAGGTGGAGAAGGGAGGTGGGGAGGGAGGAGGATGTGGGGGGTAGGTGAAGGGAGGTGGGGGGAGGGAGGGTGGTGGGGAGGTTGAGATGGAAGGAGAAGAGGATGAGGGGGAGGTGAGGGAAGGTGTGGACAAATTAAGGGTGTCAGGGAGGTGCGACATCAGGTCCAGTGTCACCCTTATTGCGTCCTTGTTGTCACGTTGGTGAACCTGTTGCGTGCTGTTGCAACCCGCGTCAATATTGAATTGTTAGGAGATTAGGTCATGTTTACCGGGGTGTAGAGGAATGAGTTGGGTTATAACATCAGAAGCTATAAAAAAATATTCCTCTCTCTCTCTCTCTCTCTCTCTCTCTCTCTCTCTCTCTCTCTCTCTCTCTCTCTCTCTCTCTCTCTCTCTCTCTCTCTCTCTCTATTCCTCTTTCTATCTCCTGTATCTTCCCCTTCTCATCCTATATGCTCCTCCTCCACCAAGTGCGAGAGCGGGGGAGGAGTCCTCAATACAAGTTCAACAATGTCCTGTCTCCACCCTTCAACTTTCTCTCTCTCTCTCTCGCTCTCTCTCTCTCTCTCTCTCTCTCTCTCTCTCCCTCTCTCTCTCTTCAACATTGGGCCAAAATTCTGAAGGTTTTGGACCATCGAGGTTTTTACGTCATCCGTCACGATAGAAAATCACCGGCTGGTTCCTGGGCGGGTTTTGTGGGCGGGCCGGAAGACTGGGTGGGCAGTGGGTGGGTGGAGGGAAGTGTGTGGGCAGTGTGGTGGGTTGTGGGAAGCGGATGGATCGAGGAGGGTGGGTGGGTAGAGGGTGGGTTGAAGGAAGTGGGTGGGTTATTATAGGTGTTGTTGACGAGTATCTCTCCACCCACTCTCACACCTCTCCCACACCTCTCCCTCCCTCTCCTAATCACCCCTTCCATCATTACCACCAACCAATTACATACACGACACAGTTTACACCACATGTAAAAACAGTTCAATTTATTCTTTGTAATTTTCTCAACGCATCGTAAGCTGTTCCAAGTGACCCTAGATGTGACCTTTCTTGACCTCCCTTTGACCTCCCCGTGACCTTTCTTGACCTCCCTCTGACCTCCCCGTGACCTTACTTGACTTTTCACTGTAACGGATTATATGAAGAGAGAGAGGTCCGTTATATGAAGGTTTTCATTGTATATCGTTCGTTAAATCTTCATCAGCCATTTTTAAAAACTCGTTCGCTACCATATAGTAAAAAACCACAAACCATCGCTCACTCCGGGGTAAAACTCTGGTGGTTCCTGGAAACTTAATTCTCGTAATGGAACGAAAAACTGTGGTAATACTTCCGGCACTTGGCTGTTACTGATTAAACCTGGTGGTGATGGTGGTAGGGAGGTTTGGTTGGTGGTAATGGTTGGTGGTGATGGTTGTTGTTGTGGTGGTAGTGGTGGTAGGGAGGGTTGTTGTGGTGCTACGGGTGGTGGTGGTGATGGTTGTTGTGGTGGTAGTGGTGGTGGTAGGGAGGTTTGGTTGGTGGTAATGGTTGGTGGTGGTGATGGTTGTTGTGGTGGTAGTGGTGGTGGTGATGATGGTTGTTGTGGTGATAGTAGTGGTGGTGATGATGGTTGTTGTGGTGGTAGTTTCTTCTTCTTCTTCTTCTTATTATTATTATCATCATTACCCACTCTGCCTCCCTCACTTCCACACTGTGACTTTACCGTCTAACCTCGACTCGTTTTTCAGTCTTCCACACCATCTAGTTGAGAATGGATGGTGTTTAATAACTTTATCACCCTCTCTCACTCTCCCTTACTCTCAGCCTCCCTCTCACTCATCCAAACTCTCCTCCTCGCTCTCCCTAACTTTCCCTCCCTTTAAATCTTGCTCTCCCTAACTCGTACTCTCCCTAATTTTCACTCACAAATCCAATCTCTCCCTAACTTTCCCTCCCCTTAAATCTTGCTCTCCCTAACTCTTATTCTCCCTAAATGTCTCTCTCCCTCTATCTCCCTCTCCCTGAATCTCCCAAATTCTCCCTCTTTTTGCCACTAACGTCTCGAAGTCAAGGCTATAAGTGAAGCGAAACTAATATGTATAAGCGACTTGAATCATTGAAAACGGAAACAAGTGACGATCTGTTAATGGGTAACTGAGTTATTTTTATTTCCTTGTTATTGACCCGAGAAACATAGCAGTAGGAACCGTTCTTTAATGTTTTTTGTTTTTTAGATAGATAGATAGATAGATAGATAGATAGTCATACAAGTAGACAATGGTATTTTAGATAGATAGTACAGGTAGACAAATAGGTGTTAACAATAAGTCGATTCAACCAATTATAATCCAAGAAAGACCTATTTAACTTCCATTGTGGTCTTTATAAACTAAGACCTCGTGAAGGTTGTTTAAAGACCATAGATGTTTGCTATAATTAAATACATAACACCAATATAAGCTTCCATCTTACCGGTCACACCTGTCGGTCTTAATTATCACAAGGAATTAGCCATTAAGACGCGGGTGTAGTTAGTGTCGCTGTTGAGTCCCGTGAGAATGGACTGGTGCTCTGGCAGGCTGTAATCACAACCAACATTACGTTCTCTTAAACCATTCACTAACGCTCCAAATCACCTCTGAATTTAATTAATTTAACTTAAAAATAAACCTAAAACAATATAAAGTATGTATTTAAATTTTAACTAATCCGGATGTACTTTTTTCTTGTATGTTTTAAAGTATAAGAAGTGAGATTATCGCTTAAACTACGACTTCAGGGAATGTGTTAATTTAGAGGAGTTACCCCGGGCGGCCACTGGGGAGACATAGAAAGTGGGATAGAGCAGCTGTCACGCGCCTTCCTCTAATTATGCGATAAATTCCTAGTTTACCCTCGCGGTGTTCTTGCTAACTTATACTTAATTTATTTTATTTTAATTATCTTTCTTCTTTTAATTATCATCTCTCTTATATCATACGTTGGGTATTTAATTGGTTGCTGAAGAGAGAGAGAGAGAGAGAGAGAGAGAGAGAGAGAGAGAGAGAGAGAGAGAGAGAGAGAGAGAGAGAGAGAGAGAGAGAGAGAGAGAGAGAAGAGACACACTTATCCAATAACTATTAAATACTCATAAGTCAATTCCCAAGTGGTGGAGGAGGACTTAACGGCCAGTTTCTAGAATACGGTGGAGGGTAACCTTAGCCCTTGTGTAGCACTTGTGTGTGTGTGGAGAGGGGGGGGGGGGCGCTAACACTCACTCAAGTCCCACTTATATACTGTGACAGGTCCTCGAGGAGTTAGGTGTAGTT